TAGTGTCAAAACAAATACAGCAGAAAAGATGAAACTCAGAGAAGACACAGATAATATGTTAAAATTTCTAAATCAATTATGGCTTTTCTAAACAACAGAATAAACAGTCAAGAATCATCTAAGTATAGATTCAAATACAGCTGGAATTATAGGCTGAGCTAATAGAAACAAAGACAGCATCATTCTCAACAGTTCAGGAGAGTCTACCTAATGCAATAAAATAAAAACTTGAATTAACTGTATAAATATGAAGAAGAATATACAATTATTTCAGATAATATTATTGTACATTTAGACATCCAAGTGATTCTCTTACAACAAAGTATTAGAATTAATAAGAGAATTTACGTAGCTGACTGAATAAAAGATAAATAAGTAAAAAATGAGTTTCTTTTTTCCATGCCAAAAATCTGAACAGAATCTGAATATGTGGAGATGCATACATAATGTTCTTGAATAGAAGAACAATATTACAGATGCCAATTTAAAAAAAAAAGAAACAAAAATCCAGTCCAATTCCACTCAGAATTATAATTTTAAGGTTTAGATGGCAAAATAAATATTCAAAAACAGCAAAAAAAGTGGGGGAGGGATAAAAAGGAAAAGCATAGTAATAGAAGAGTTTGCTTAGCAGATAGTAAATACCTTGTGAAACCACTAGAGTCAAGTGTAACAGGGTGGCAGCTACAGGGGCGAGCAGAACAGAGTATGGAAATAGGTCCAGGTATGTTGGGAATTTAATATATAGTAAAGCTGGCATTTTAGTTCAGTGGGAAAAGGATGCTTTGTTCAATAAGTGTGCTTGAATAACTCACTCTCACTCTCAATCCAGAAGAAAGCAAAACCAGATTCTTTGCTATTTATAAAACTTTCAAATTGATGAAAAGACTCAAAGAACAAAATTTAAATTAAATGTAAGAACATATTTCAGTAACTCTATAGTCCAAGAAACCTTCTAAAGTGAGAGAGAAAGCTCATCAGCCATGACTGCATGATAATATAACCATTTTGTGGGGAAAATGTTCTGAAAAGAAAGTCATAAGGCAAGTGGGAAAAACACATATACATATATAGGGAATATATGTTTTAGTCTTAATTACAAAGAGAGCAAAAAATTGATAAGAAAAGGCAAACCAATCAACAGAAAAATGGACAAATATGTGAACAGCCACATTACAAAGCGGAAATCCAATGGCCTAACAAGCAAATGATAAGATGAAAGTGAAAACAAGGCACCATTTTCCACTCTTCAGAGAATAGGAAAGCAATATAAACCCACTTGATGTAGTTTGGATGTTCGACTCCAAACCTTATGTTGAAATGTGATCCCCAGTCTTGGAGGTGGAGCCTGGTGGGAGGTGTTTGGATCATAGGATCAGATCCCTCACGAATGGCCTGGACCATCCCCTTGGTGATAAGTGAGCTCTTGCTCAGTTCACATGAGATCTGGTTGTTTAAAAGTGTGTGGCACCTCCCACCCACCACTCTCTCTCTCTTGCTGCAGCTCTGGCCATGTAAAGTGCATGTTCCCTTTTTGCCCTCCACCATGATTGTAAGCTTCCTGAGGCCTTCCCAGAAGCTCAGTAGATGCTAGTACCATGTTTCCTATAAAGCCTGCAGAACCATGAGCCAAGTAAACTTCTTTTCTTTATAAATTACCCAGCCTCAGGTATTTTTTTTTTATAGCAATGCAAGAATGACATAACACAGAAAAGCAGTACCAAGGAGTACCTGAAAATGTGAAAGCAACTTTGGAACTGGGTAATGGGCAGAGGTTGGAAGTCTGGAGGGTTCAGAAGAAGATAGGAAGTGAGGGAAAGTTTGGAACTTCTTAGGGACTGGTTAAATAGTCCCTATGGTTATGACCAAAATAATGATAATGAAATGGACAACAAAGTCCCGATTGAGGAGGTCTCAGATGGAAATGAAGAAATTATTGGGAACTAGAGCAAATGGTCACACGTTATGCCTTAGCAAAGAACTCAGCTGCATTCTGTTCATACCCTAGGGATCTGTGGAATTTTGAACTTGATGATTTTGGGTATTTTGTAGAAGAAATTTATAAGCAGCAAAATATTCAAGAAGAGGCATGGCTGCTTCTAACAGTCTACATTCAGATGCAGGAACAAAGAAATAAGTTGGAACTTACATTTAAGGGAAGCAGAATGTAAAAGGGAAGCAGAATGTAGAAGTTTGAAAAATTTGCAGCCTAGCCGTATGGCAAAGAAAGAAAAAGCTTTTTCAGAAGAAGAATTCAAGCAGGCTGAGGAGCAACTACTTGCTAGAGATATTTGTATAATGAAAAAGGAGCCAAGTGCTAATACCCAAGACAGTGGAGAAAAGGCCTCAAAGGCGTTTCAGAGACCTTCACGGCAGCGCCTCCCATCAAAGGACCAGAGGCTTAGTTGGAAAGAATGGTTTCATGGGCCAGACCCAAGGTCCTGCTACCTTGTGCAGCCTTGGGATATAGCTCCCTACATCCTGGTGGCTCCAGCTTCAGCCTTGGCTCTGAAGGTCCGAGATACAGCTCAGGCTGCCACTCCAGAGGGTGCAAGCCATAAGGCTTGGTGACTTTCACACGGTGTGGAGCTTGTAGGCATGTAGAGTGAATGAGGTTTGGCCACCTCTGCCTAGATTTCAGAGGATGTATGGAAAAGCCTGTGTGTCCAGGCAGAAGCCTGCAGCAGGGGGATAGCCCTCATAGAGATCCTCTACTAGGGCAGTGACAAGGGGAAATGTGGAGTTAGAGGCCCCACAGAGAGTCCTCATGGGAGCACTAGTAGAGCTGTGAGAAGAGGCCACCACCTTCCAGACTCCAGAATGGTACATCTACCAGCAGCTTGCACCTTGCACCCGGAAAAGCTGCAAGCAGACAGCAGCCATGGAGGCTGAACCCAGGAAAGCCACAGGGGCAGAGCTGCCCAAGGTGTTGGGAGTCCACCTTTTGCACTGGTGTGCCCTGGATGTGAGACATGGAGTCAAACAAGATTATTTTGGAGCTTTAAGATTTAATGGCTGCACTGCTGAGTTTTGAACTTGTGTGGAGCCTGGAGCACCTTTCTTTTGGTCAATTTCTCTGTTTTGGACTGGAAATGTTTACCCAATGTCTATAACCCACTGTATCTTTGGAGTGAATAACTTGTCTTTGATTTTATAGGCTCAGAGGTGGAAGGGACTTGTCTTGACTCAGACAAGAGTTTGGACTTTTGAGTTAACACTGGAACAAGTCAAGACTTTGGGGGACTGTTGGGAAGGCATGATTGTGTTTTGCAATGAGGACATGAGATTTGGGAGGGGCCAAGGGTGGCATGACATAGTTTGTATATTTGTCACCACCCAAATCTCATATTGAAATGTAATCCCCCATCTTGGAGGTGGGACATAGTAGGAGGTGTTTGGATCACGGGAGCAGATCCCATTCATAAGCAGATCTTATGAATGGCCTGGACCATCCCCTTGGTGATAAGTGAGCTCTCGCTCTGAGTTCATGTGAGATCTGGTCATTGAAAGCTGTGCAGCACCTCCGCCTTCCAACTCACTCTCTCTTGCTCCTACTCTGGCCATGTGAAGTGCCTGTTCCCCCTTTGCCTTCTGCATGACTGTAAGCTTCCTCAGGCCTCCCCAGAAGCTGAGCATATGCCAGCACTGTGCTTCCTGTAAAGCCTGCAGACCCAAGAGGCAAGAAATCCTCTTCTTAAAATTAATGACCCAACCTTATGTATTTCTTTATAGCAGTGCAAGAATGGCCCAACACACCATACATTGTAATATCCAGTACTGGCAAGAATGAAGGGAAACACCCAGTTTCACACATGGTGAGTAGAAATATGTTTGGAAAGAAGTCCTAAAATTATTAAGCTAAAAACACACATATGTTGGCACAGCAAATCCATTCCATGAATGCAAACCTATAGAAATAAAAGCACCAGTATGTAAGATTAGAGGTATAAAGATGTTTCTTTCAGCATTGCTTGCAATTGCAGTAACAAATAACAATGACAAAAACCCAAGCAAAACCAGAATTACCATGAATACAGTAGTGATCTAAAAATTAACAGATGTTATAGAAAAAAATGTAGCTATTAAGAGATTATGTTCGTGACCTCCTGCTCAGCGAAACAAGCACTTTGCAAAGTGTGCTGTGCATTTGACTCTGATTTGTTTGATTCTGAACAAGCAAGAAGAGCAGGAGGAGACCACCAGGATGTTATTGTGGTCATTACACTGGTGAGATCTGGGATGCGTTGAGGAGAGTGTTCTTAAGTTTTCCTCATATATCTTTGTGTTGTTTCCTTTGTTATAATAAGCATATCTTCCTTTCCTTTTTTTTCTTTTCTTGAGACAGAGTCTCATTCTGTTGCCCAGGCTGGAGTGCAGTGCATGTGATCTTGGCTCACAGCAACCTCCACCTCCTAAGTTCAAGTGATTCTCCTGCCTCAGCCTCCTGAGTAGCTGGGATTACAGGCACCTGCCACCACACCTGGATAAGTTTTTTGTATTTTCACCATCTTGGCCATGCTGATCTTGAACTCCTGACCTTGTGATCCACCTGTCTCAGCCTCCCAAAGTGCTGGGATTATAGGCATGAGCCACCGCGCCTGGCCATCTTACTTTCAAAATGAAGAAAAAGAATAGAGAATATGGAGCGCATGGGATAAGAAATGTGACACTGAACAGACTTGGAGACTGTGTTACTTGGGAAAAAAAGGAAAGAACTAGAGATGTTTGGTCTGGAAAAACCAGGACACCAGGGGGAATGCTGGCTTTTACTCACTTCATGGGCTTTTGGAGTCCTAGGAAGTCAGACTCATTTTTCTACTTTTCTGAGGTAGAGGCTGGAGCCATGGGCAGAAGCAACAAAGGACATCTCAGCACAGTGTGAAGAAGAAGGCACTGAGAGTCCAATTTGCCTGCATCTGGGAGGTGATGACCCCATCATGCTTTGTTCCACCCAACCCGCCTATAAGCTGTGGTGCCTAGGCTCAGTCCCTCAGCGGTACCTTGGGCAATGTCGTCCTGCCTCTGCAGGCAGGGCCGCTCCACCTTGTGTCCAGGCTGTGGCTCTCGCTCTGGCTGCTTGGGACCCCTCCCTTCATTGAACACATGCGGCAGATTGGCTGTGTGCACCTGGCGGAGCTGCTCATAGTCGCTCAGAGCGGCTGTCAAGTCCCAGTTTTTGCCTGTGGACAAGAAATGACAGGTGACAATATGAATGCATGAATAATGGTCTACTCATAGAGAAGAACCGTGACAAAAAGGGCTTCTCATTAGGACATAAACTAATGAATTTTCTACCAGCAGTTCACATTTTTCAAAGGGGAAAAATGGCCTTCTCCATGATCTCTGAAAGTAGAATTTCACACCCATAAGTGATGTCCATCTAAAATATGTGACTATATAGTCTTAGAGCTTTTAGGTTTAAACACACCACATGCACACACACACACACTTCTAAACATTGCATTCCTTATTACCATATCCCCCTTTGAAAATCAAGTTGTAGAGCTTGATCTCTGAGGGGAGCAAAGCATTAATTAAAGAGAAATGAATTGAAATAATTCTCAAAGTCTCTTTGGACTTTTGCTCAGAGTTTTACTTTTTATGTTAAGTTTAACATGAGAGAAGCAGAAGCTTGGGAGGGATTCTCTTGTTAGTGGCTTTGGTGGGAGGTAGGCTTTTGAGCCCAGGCTCTGCACCAGGCACGATGGCAGGCTGGGCAGGTGTGCCCAGTGTGGATATGCAGTCAGCAGGGCTCCCATCCCGACACCGGGTGCTGGACTGGCACTTCACAACACAAGGCGCAGATACACTGGGGAGTTGGAGGCAGCATGGCACTCCGATTCCTGACTCTGAGAGTCAGTGTGCTTGTAACAGCAGGAAGGAGTGTCACACACTGCATCTGATTCACTTAGGCATCATTCTATAGCATGATTGGGCAACTATAGTTAACAATAATTTATTGCATATTTCAAAATAACTAGAAGCAAAGATTTGGAATGTTCCCAATGTAAAGAAATGATACATGTTTGAATTGATGGATATCCCAATGAGCCAGATTTGATCATTATACACTGTGTGTTTGTATCAAAATATCACATCTGCCCCATCAATATGTACAACTATGATGTATCCATAGAATTAAAAATTAAAAAAATTTAAAAAGAAATCAAATAATTAAAAACGTAGCCTTAATTTTAAGGAGCAAATAAAAACAAGCTCCTCTCTCATCTTTTCCATTTTAAGTTACTGGGAACTCCAACAGATGTGACATCAAGTAAGGATGAGAAGAAAAGGCGCAGAGGCCCATGATGAAACCTGAGGCTGGAGGACTGGATCAGCCACAGGCTACATGTCCCTGATGCCAGGATACTCAGAAAAACAGTCAAGAACACAGGTTCTAGAGTTTGGTTTTGAGCCCTTCTAACAAATTCTCTGATGGTAAATACATCATTTCATTACACAAGACCTTATATTCCTTCCTGTACAATCAGGATAACACAATCCATCTAATGAGAATTCTTAGGAGGGTTAAATGTGAAAAGAAGATAGTGTTTGTAAAGTTCTTCCTTTATGGAAAGCACTTAATACATGGTAGTTACCATTACTTTAATTAATTATAGATTTTTGTTTTATGTTTAACTTCTAGCACTCAGGGTTAAACTCTGAGTAAGTGATGGACAGTAAGTGATGGAGCTGAGATTCAAATACAGATCTGCCTTGATTCAAATTTAAGCTTTTGGCGTTACTGTTCCCTTGAACCTGACCCAGCTTTGGGCATGATGGCTCCTGGTTGCTGACACACCTCCTACTCTACCTTGCACGCCCACCATGGCCCTCCATAACCAGGGCTTGCCCTCTTCACCTGGATCCCCACTCTCCATCTCCACCTTGCCAGTGCATTAGACTGCTGGGTTCTACTCTCTTCTCCACAGACTTACCTATACTCTGTGAGGTTCTCATTAAACTGTTAATCTCTCAAACACACTAAGGCCATGAAGTCCATTGGGGGGGCACTAGAGACCTGACTCTAACGTGGACATTTTCACAGCTCCTCTTCTCCTGTATCCTGTGATACTCTACGGTCCCTTCACTGGTTCCTTTGCCTCTTCCTGCCCTTAGAACACATGAATTCCCCCTATTTTTCTTCTTATTCTTCTTTTCTCTTAATTTACACCCTCCTTTGAAGATTAAGTCCATCTCTAAGAAAATAAGCTTGATTGTAAGTTTTAAAGCCAAATATTTGACTATGGCAGATATTAGCTGACTATCCAATTTCTATTCTCATCTAATTCTGTATGCTCAGAATTCTAATTTATTTTGGATAGCAATACACACAGCTAAAAGTATTCACTTTTTTCCTGCAGATCTTCAAAATATGTTCCTGTTGTTCTATCTTTCTGTATTTGCTTACTCTGTTCCTTCTTCCAGGAATAGTTCCTCCAAGCAGCAAGACAGTATAGCTGTGTGGAAGAAGACCTTAACAAAAGAATTCAAAGATTGAGGAAGTTGCCTGTGAAGTTTTTCTTCCAGGATACCTGTATTTCTGATTATCACCAAACAATGAGTTATTGAATTACTGGCAGGCATGGGTTTCATGGTAATAACTACAACCTCTAGTACAGTTTACTGCTGTGATGTGATGTGCTGCTTTAATTTAGTACAAAAGTATCATAGTGCTGAAGAAAGACTATAAACCAGATATACATGAAGTCACAGGAGGATGTGACAGAAACTGACTAAACTTGAGGAAAAAGGAGTCAAACTGTTTTAGAAATGAAGTAAAATTATAAGGAAGAAAAAAGAAAACAGTACAGATAGCATAGTAAGAATGATAAAAATAAAAAATAAAGTAGACAAAATAAAACAGAAATAAAGAAACATAGGGATAAATAAAAATGTTAGATATAGAATACTGGTAAAGGAAATCCAACATACTCATAATTGGAGCCCCAAATAAGAAATTGAAAATAGTGGAAGAGGAAAGCAAATTTTAAGAACCTTAATTAAAAAAGCAAACTTCTTGAAATATTTGATTTTACATATTTAAAGTGTATACGGTATATAAGGAAGCTGTTCTAGTATAGTCAATACCAACATATATCCTTTTACAATTATCATCTTTTAAAGATAAAAAGAATTTTTAAAATCTGTAAGCAAAAAAGAAAGAAAATCAGGTTGACAACATACTTCTTGGCAGCAACATTCAATGCCAAAAAGACAATAGGGCCACATCTACAAGATACTGAAGGAAAGAAAGGAATATGAGCTAAGAACGGTTTATGTCCATCCAGGCCACTCTTTTCTGTATAAAGGCTGTAGACAAACCATTTTAAACATGAATAGTTCAGAAAACATTTCTCAAATGGACACTCTTTGAGAAAACTACTAGAGGATGAACTCCAGCCAATCAAGAGATGAACAAGAGTTTGGCAAAGGAGCAGTCAGGCAGCAGTAAGTTTATTTAACTGCACATCTAAGGAAAAGTAAAGATAAAGATACAAGTGATGAAGAAGAATATCAATATTCTGTCAAAATGAGAATGACACAATCAACAAAAATGGTAGAATTTAGAAAGCAGAATAAATTTGCAATGCCTCAGCTATAATACATGAGAGTACAAAAATAATGTTTCCAGTTGACAAGTCAGGCCAGGTGCAGTGGTTCACACCTATAATCACAGTACTTTGGGAGGCCAAAGCAGTCAGATCACTTGAGGTCAGGAGTTCGAGACTAGGCTGGCCAACATGGCAAAACCTGGTCTCTACTAAAAATACAAAAAATTAGCTGGCCATGGTGGCACACGCCTATAGTCCCAGCTGCTCAGGAGGCTGAGGCACAAGAATTTCTTGAACGTGGGAGGCGGATGTTGCAGTGAGCTGAGATTGCACCATTGCATTCCAGCCTGGGCGAAAGCGTGAGACTCTGTCTCAACAACAACAACAACAAAAACTACAGTTGACAGGTCAAATATGTATATGTAAGCATATTTAATAGTAGAAGAGCAAACAATAAGAACAGACAAAAGACATAATATTGGTTAAATTAGATGGTAGAAGAGAGGGGGAGGATGAAGGAAGAAGATAAAAGCCTGTTTTATTGAGGCATATAGGGAATAAACTGATATTGTCTAAAGGAAAAGGGGCACAGGATATTACATAAAGGTAAACTTATATAACCACTAGTTCCACTGGAACTTACACCCTCAGCTCTTCTGGTTTGCCAGCATGCTGACTGCAGGTTGTGAGACTTCTCAGCCTCCACAAGCTCATGGGTCAATTCCTTATTATAGGTCCGTCTCTCTGCCCAGCTCTCTCTGTAATATACGTGTACATGCTTACACACAGATACAAACGTGTATGGATATGTGTGCATATTACACATATCCATATGTGTAATGTACCACTTAACAATGGAAATGCCTGCTGAGAAATGCATCAACAGGTGATTTCATCATTGCGCGAATATCACAGAGTGCCTTTACACCAACCTAGATGGCAGAGCCTACTACACCCCCAGGCTCTGTGATAGAACATACTGCTTCTAGGCTACAAACCTACACAGCATGTTACTGTGCTGAATACTGTAGGTAACGGTAACACAATGGTGAGTATTTGTGCATCTAAACATGTTTAAAAATGAAAAAAGTACAGTAAAAATATGGTATAAAAAATAAAAAATGGTATACCTGCATAGGGCACTTACCATGAATGGAGCTGGCAGGACTGGGAGTTACTCTGAGCGAGTGAGTGAGTGAGTGCTGAGTGAATGTGAAGGCTGAGACATTACTGTATACTACTGTGGACTTTAGAAACACTGTACACTTAGGCTATATTAATTTATTTAATTTTTTCTTTCTCAACAATAAACTTGGCTTACTACAACTTTATAAGTTTTAAAACTTTTTGACTTTTTTGTAACAACACTTAGACTAAAATACAAATATATTGCACAACAGCACAAAAATATTCTCTTTCTTTATATTCTTATTCTATAATCTTTTTAGAAAACAATTTAACATTTGTTCTTAGCTTAGGCCCACACAGTGTCAGCGTGATCTGTATCACTGTCTTCTACCTCTGCATCCTATCCCACCATTAGGTCTTCAGGGGCAGGGTGTGCATGGAGCTGTCATCTCTTATGATAACAAGGCCTTCTTCTGGAACACCTCCTGAAGGACCTG